TATCAGGGACAGCTAGGTGACAGTCCTGGCAGCCTTCCTTCCCTCTCTCATGCAGGCCTCGTTCTGAGTCCCAGGTGATCCACAGGTCCAGGGCGAATAGCGAGAAGGTCAGAGGTGGAAGGCTCAGCAGGAGAGTAGAGGAGCATCAGCAGAGGTTGTGAGAAGGCCAGAATCCAGGGTCAGGCTGTCTGGAACAGGAAGTAAAATGGACAGAGATGGAGCAAGTCCCAAGTAGTTTCCAAGACAACTCCCACCTCTCCAAATACCCTGCTTCTTACTGACCCAGTCCCTGGCACTGTGAGAGCACCTTCCCTTCAAAGCCCCTGAACAAGGGAGATGCTCTTGCTGACACCCACCCCTGCCATCAGGTGAGCACTTCCCCCCCAACCCCAGCCAGTGTGGGAGGAGGAAGACTCCTACCCTGGTCGAAGTTGAGTTTCTTGGCTGGAGGAGTTTCTCCTAGCCCTTCAATATCCACCAGGTCACTGTTGGCGTCGGAGTCATTCAGAGCACTGAGTGTCACATCTGGGAGGGGGCATAGGCTAGGTTCTAGGTTCCCTGACTTCTCCCCTCCCCAGTTTTCCAAAGCTTTGTGCTCTACCTCCCCCATTCTGGAAACCACCCTAGAGAAAATGAGATCTATCCTTTGACCCAGGCCCAATTCTCTCACTGAACCTCAGATGGGACCTTTAACCCGTACCCTAGACAGCAACAACTCCACAGCCCTCACCAGCCTTCTGTTTCTTTATGGGGGGTCCCCCGGACTCTGGGATACTGGAACTGCTGGGTGGAGGGGCAGCTGGAGGAGGCGACAGGACACCAGATGCCACCTTCTTGGGCCCTTTTTTGGGTGATTCAGCTGGAAGGGGGATGCCAGAATCTTCATATACCTTTCGTTTTACAGTGGCCTTTATCTGAGCCCTGAAGAGAAGAGACAGCAGATTAGGGAAGGGGTCAGCAAGCTGAGGGAAAAGGGGAGGGCAGGGGTAATGGGTCACTCTGAAGGAATTCTGGGAGCCCTACATAAGAATCCAGGTTAGGGCCCCAGGCCTTTGGTAGGGCTCTCATTTTTGTGAAGCTCTGTACTCAATTAGGGAGATGGAGTGTGAAGAGTGGAGTCCCTGAACAGAGTAGCAGAAAGGCCCATTCCCTAATCTTCTGGGAGAGATGTATGGATGTGTAGTGCCACCAGGTAAGGCTTGGTGATTTAAAGGTAGACTGAGACTTACTAGTAGATCTGGATCAACTATTTCAGAATCACAATACCCCTGGAAAAATGAGAATCTCAAAAGATCTATATAAATCACCAGGGATTCCCATTATGAAATACAATAATTGAGTAGCTCAGGCACCCTAAAATAAAATTCTTGGAAGGTTCTGACTACCATGGCATTTTAGGAACTTTTGACCAACTGTGACAATTCTTATATTCTTTCAGTCCTCCAGGGAATGCTAACAAAACTAGCAACACAGTAGGAAAGATGCTGAACTGGGAGTTCTGAGGAAGAAGGAATAATGGGTAAGGAGGAAGAAAGCTGCCCACCCCCCTTTTTCTGCCAGCCACCCTCCCTCACACTGTCCGTTCCTTGATGACACAGCTGATGTGATTAAGATCGTCCCCAAATCGCTTCACAGCAGCCCTCAGCATCTCTATCTCCGTCTCCGTCCACTTCGCACTGTCGGAAGGGGAGAGGTGGGGTAGCAAAAACGGGAGCAGAAGGGAGTGGATCCAGCCCACGGGCTGTGCATTCCACAGCCAATCAGCCTTCTGCCCCCAATCTCTGGGTCCCCTTCCAAGGACTAAAAGGGGTCCTACTTAAAAACAAACAAACAAAAATCCTCTGGGGACCCCTCCCCCACGACATGAAACTGCATCCACCGCTAGAACACCTTTCTCCTTCATCAATGTGCAACTGCTGCAGACGGCCCACTGACACCAACTCAACAAGTAGGGGTCTTACAACAGCACCCCTGAATATGGTCTGCAGCAGTTTGATGGAATTTTATATGATTTGGGGTGGGTGGTAGTGGTGGTGGTTTGGTCTGTCAGTTCGCAGCAAGGGACAACTGAAATTATGAGTCAGGTGGTGGACCTGTCTGTAACTTCATCTGTCATTCATTCAACAATCATTTATTAACACCTACTCTGCGCTGTGTCAGGCACAAAGGGAAACTAACATTTGCCCCCGCTCTAGAGAGGATCTGTGTCTGTGACAGAGTCCAAGCGTCCGCGCCCGGCGTCCACGTCCCAGCCTGGGCTCACGTACCCCGCGGGGGAAGAGTCGGCCACGGGATGCAACTGCATCGTCAGCTCTCCAAGTTTCGTGAAGGCTGCGCCGGCCGCAGAGAAGATCTCTCCGACCTGGGGGCGGGGCAGTATTACGGGGGGCCGGCGCACAGCCCCAGCGCGGTCCCGCCCGGAGACCCTAGCCCCACCCTAGATCGGCGCCCGCCCCCAGCCCCGCGCGAAAGAGCGGGAGCCAAGCAGGGGGCCCGCCCCTCCTGTGGCCGCCAGGGAGCGCTGTCCGCGAGGGAGGTCGAACCTTTGTGGACGCTGACGTCATGGCCCCGCGCACCTCCTCACGGAGACGCTCTGCCGCCGCCACCACGCGAGCTGGGACCACGGAAAGCCGGGCTACTAAGCCGCTCCGGCCCGGGAGCAGGAAGTCCCACCCTCCCTGTAGCTGATTGGCTCAAACCCTGCCGCTCTCCGCCCTACCAACCGCAGTCGCTTAGGCGGCCCGGGCGCTCGGGGAAGGAGAGGTGGGAGACGTCGCCTCACTTCCGGCCGGCTTCACTACACTTCCTTGGAGTGATCGGGTCTCTGCAGTTACAGGCCGACCTCCAGCCTTGGCCCGGCCCGCCCCGTCACTCAAGCACAGACGCGAAGCTTAAGAGAGCAGTTTCTCTTTATTGTGATACGGTCAAGCCGAGGGGCTGGACGCCAGAGCTTGGAGAACCAGGGCTGCAGACTCTCGCCAGGGGGACCCAGTTTTCCAGAGGATACCAGAATGGGTGGGAGGAGACCTGGGATAGGGAGTCTTTAAATAGAGGGAACTGGAGAGGGGAAATTGGACCGTCCTCTAGCGCACCATGTATTCCTTGCGCTTATTGAGCCGAACTTGGCAGAAAGAGAAGCCTCCGAGGAGGAGGTAGAGGCCCGCGGCGATGAAACAGTTGTAGCTGACTTGCTCGTAAAGGTTGTAAATTTTCTGAGGGCCATTCCTGAGGGAGGGGATTAAGCAGAGAAGTGTCAGTCATTAAGAAAATCCAACAGTTACCGGGCATTTAGTATGTGTGAGGCACCGTCCCAAGACCTTTTATGTATATTATCTTATTCAGTCTTCTGGATTAAAGGATTTATTCCATTATAATACCCCCTTTGCAAGATGAACCGAGGCACAGAAAGATGAAGTAACTAAAGAAGCCGCACCTAAACTGGTGGGTTTTAGGAGAGACGCTGAAGCCTGATTTCCGAGACCACTCCTACATACATTCCATTTTTCTTTTATGGTGCTAGGGATTGAACCCAGCACCATAAAAGAAAGCGCGTAAAGCGGTATTCTACCACGGAGTTACAATCCCCAGCCTCTAACCACATTCTAAATAGAGAAACTCTCCTTTACCAGTACTCCCTCAGGGTCCTAAACATCCAGCCTCCGGCAATTTCCCGCTTACAATTCTGACCCTAGGTCCAGCCACTTTTCACCTGCACCCGGCTCCCCACTACCCCAAACCACTTACTCAAAATCTTTCTCCGTGACGGGAACGTCCTCAATTAACACAGCGGAATGGACGTTAAAAAATATTCCAAGCATTATCTGAAAAAAAGGGAATATGTAAGTTGTTGAACTCAGGCAACTGTTGCTGGTCACTCCCTAAATCCCTTTCATTTCTAATGTTGACCCAACACCTGTGCCTGGGATTAACCAGAACGAGCTAGTAGTATGAGTGGCTGTAGCTGGATTCGACCTCAGCCACCTGCAACAGGGCGAGAAGTGGGGACACTGAGACGAAAGGCTGGGACAAGGGCAGGAATAGTTAGCAACTCGACTCTCCCAGGAACCCAGACTATACTTCTCAGAGGCGTCATTATCACGGGACAGGGCGGAAGAAGTGAGGGAGAACAGGCACTCCATATTATTTATGGAAGTCGCCGCGGATAAAGTCAAGGGGGAGGGGAAGGCCTCAGTTACCTATTTCAGGAAGAGGCACTCCCTTTCCCCTCTTAGTCTCCATCCAACTAATGCATCTCTGAAGACCCCAGCTCCTCTTTTTCTTACCATAATGGGTCCGCAAATTTACCAGCCTTGGCTCCCATTCCAGGCTCTAGCCCCAGCACCTTCTCGCTCTAATTCCCTATTTTCTAATCTCAATTCTGTCTCATTCTCCAGCAACCAGTTATCCCATCAGCCCCTCTAGCCTGCCTGCTGCCTTTTAAGACCTGGGGTTTCCTGGCCTTCCAGCCCTCCAACCCGGGAGCTCCTCGGGCCCGCTCCGACTTCCGTCGGGATGTCCCCTCACCAACATGATCACTCCCCAGGCGCTGAGGACGATGCCGCAGGCGGCCAGCTTGGGCCCACAGCACAAGAGCGATGCCATGAAGAAGGGAACCAGGGATTGCTTGAGTGTGAGGGAACCTGATGAGAAGAAACCCTGGACGCTCCGGAGTCCAGAGAGCTGGATTTGGGAGCTAGAGCCGCGGAGCGCGGAGGAGAGGGCGTGGCCTCAGGCCCCAACCATCATTCTGGGGGGCGGCAGCGGAGAAGATGGCGCCCTGGGGCCCTTCCGAAACTTCGGTGGGAGGAGGTGGTGTCCGAGACGGAAGCAGAGCATCCAGAGGCGCTTTTTAATCTGTGTGGCTAGGGTTTGAGTATACAAGAGCGAGGGCTTAGGGTTTCTTGGTCTCCCTCACACCCCCGCATCTGAATGGAAGTAGCTGACACATCACGTGATCAGACTGACGGGTCACGTGACGAGGAACTAGCCGTAACCTTTCGGAAATGCCTAATTCTGGCAGGATCCTGGTAACTTGGGTAACGGGCTGTTAGGATGAGAAGCTTGGACTCCTCTCGTTTCCCCCTAAGACACTTTAGTCTGGGGCGGTCTCTGTGATGCGGAAATAGTAAGTGAGACGTAGAGATTTCTTCCGGAGAGCGCGCGTGTCTATCGCTTTTGTACTCCCCTCTCCCTTTAAAAATGGTTGTTCTGATAGTGAAAGGAGATAGGAGCCCTCCTGGAGGCCAAAACATGCTGTTGTGGCAAGAACACTTTAAAATTGCTGAGAGTTCTTGGCATTAGAGATGGTTCTCTTAAACAACAAAGCTTGGGATACTGTATGGTTTTTATCATCTCTCTTGGAAAACTGTATACTTTTGGATGCTGAAACCGGGAAAATCTGGGGTTAGAGAAAGTCCAGGGAAAGCAGATTCGATGAGCAAGTTGTGAAGGTGAGTAATCCTGCTACAGGTATTGCAGAAAGTAAGTACACAAAAATGTCACTTTGCTGCCCTGTTTACTAGAGAAAGTGATTGTAGGCCCTTTGAGTAAAGTACTACAAGATTTAAAAATATGAGTAGATCGCCCTCTCCCAACTCCAGAATGTTTCTGTATTTCACTAGAGCGATGCAGATTTGTAATTATCATTCAGGAACATAGGGATGTTTGAAGAATGCTTATTTTTTGGGTGCCTGGGTTTGAACACATATTTTTGTTCAAAATTGTTCAAAAATGTGTTAACATATGACAAAGAACACATTTTTGCATTAAGTTTGTTGTGTCCATTCTACACAGAGCACAGAATAATTGAGAGAGATCATTTTGATGCTGAGACTCCAGAACCAAAGAAACACTGTCATAGGCTAGAATAACTTTGTGGTATTTCCCCATTTATTTTGTGCATAGTATTATCAAAATTGTTGTGAAAGAGAACTTGGATCCTGGGAAACATAAAGAGATCACTGGGTATTAAAGGACCTAAAAAGTGGCCTTGAAATATGAGTTTTGTATATCTTTTGTTTGGGACTGTCTGGAAAAGGAAGTCATTTGGGGGCAAAGATTTTTTATTCTGGGCTATTCAGGGAAGTTTGGGGTACATGTCTAAATAGCGGAGTCAGGGTGAAGGGAAAATTGTCAATGAACTGTCAGCAATCTGTGAGTTGGCCACCAAGCATGAAGTCTAATTCCTGGAAAGGAGAATTAACAGAGGTAGTGAATTTCTTCAGTAAATCTCCTCTTTGTATCCCCAAACATGCTCTTGGATGTTTTGGAAGAAAGGTCAGGGGCTTAGGCTAGTATACTGTATAAGGACCAAGTCCAGTCTGTGGTCTCTGCATGTCTCTCAAGCAAAGTACTTTTTTTTTGTATTTTTAAATAGTCAAAAACCCAAACTAATGTTTTGTGATAATGGAAGTTCATACCTAAGTGATCATAAATGAATTTTTATTGGAACATACTTAAAATAATTTACTGACATACATCATCTGTGCCTGCTTTCGTGCTACAGTGGGAGAGCTGAGTAATTGTGGCAGGGACTCTGAGGCCTAAATATTGCCTGGCTCTTAAATTTAGTGCTCTCTGGGCTAGTGGTATACTGATAGAAGGTTTAGTTGAGGGGGGAATCAGAGCCTTAGCAACAGAGACTTAGGAAAACATTATATTCAAGATTGACATGGCAGTCTTAAAGCTGATGTGACATCTTTCAGGTGGGGGCACCTTAGGTCTCAGATAGTGACACTGTTCTCTATGCGGCTTGGCTTCAGGTATTCATAAGGCAGGTCAAGTTGCTCATTCCGAGCTGTAATCTCATTTTCCAGGTTTTCCAGATCTGTTTGGAATTGGCTTAACACAGCTTTAGCCTGGGGGTCTGAGAAATATTCTTCTTTGTGATGCCCCAGAGGTACCTAAGATGGAACAAAGGATTAGTTTCTAGTCTGAAGACAGAAGCACCTAGAGCCCATTCCCTAACTCTGATTTTCCTTTCCAACTGTAGTTTTCCTCTCCGGAGGGTTCCCTTCTCACCATGTCTGGCTGGCGGCGTCCCAGATGCCATGTGATGGTCATTTGAAGACAGGACTGCCGGATATCAGGTAGTGACCCCATCACTGTGGCCAATGTCACATCTTCCTTGGTGGTGGGTGGGGGCATCCGCATTGTGCAAGGGGCGTTAGGGACCCAGGCATACCAGTCCAGCTGGGGGAAGAAACTGTAACCCTAGACCCCTGGCACTTAGGGCTTGAATCCCTCTCTCACCCTTCGATCTCCCAAGGTCCAGACACTTGCCTCCAGGGACCTGGGCTTTCAGCTATCCATACCTGGCCCTGGTTGATGGCCCCATGCTGGGCAGTGCATGTGAAGACACACATGGTAAGGAAATGGCAGAGTTGAGCCCGGGACTGGAGAGAGATAGGGAAACCTGGGCAGAAAAGGAACAGGATTTAGAGGCTTCAGTATAATAGGAAAGAAATAAAGGCTGATGCCTTAGTAGGTCTGTATTTTAGAATTGATAGGTGTTTGTTTATTTACTTAGGTATGTTTGTGTCAGACATGGATTTCTAGGAAGAGTTTGAGAAAGGCTATTTCTTTCTTGGAGATGAAAGTGTAGTGCGTGTGTGTGTGTGTGCACACACACACATGCATAGAGGAGTTGAGATAAACTAAGGTACTGTCTAGAGAGAGGACAAGATTGACCAATGAACCTGAGTCCCAAAGATCAGGGAACTAACTTCAGGTTTAAGCCACAACATATATAGTATTGAGGTTACATCTGGAAATGACCTTGCACTTTGGCAAGTATGAAAATACCTGGCTCTTCTGCATGGTGGATAATAGCAGATAGGAAAAAGGAAGAGAGCCAGGTTGGGTTATTATAGGCTTTAGTGGTAAACTTTTCCTATTTATATCTTCAGGCAGTACCTGAATGGGGGTACCACAAAGATAACATGTGAGTCCCAGAATGGACAGAACCCCTCACTGGCTCTGCCCTGGTTGGTTCCTAGGCCGTGGCAGGGCATCTATGACTGAGGTGGGGACAGGAGTAGGGGTTGATGGCCAGGGTCTCTGAGAAGGACAGTCCATGGGTATCTAGAATTTCCCTGAGTCTTAAGATGTGTGACTGGAATTTGGGTACTTTTGTGTGTGGAGGGAGGGATATGATACTGGGTTGGGGTTCTGTCTCAGAGGGACAGGGCTGGGAAAGGGCTCTTGCAGTGTCTGAGGAGCTCCTGTCTTTGAGATGGATCTTACCTCTGTTCTGGGCCTGGCATAGCCCCACCTCTGTGATCTCTCGACACCAGGCCTGCAGCTCAGGGTCCCCCCTAACGATGTCATCCCTCTGGTAGAAGAGGTGGACGATCCCTTCCACATACCTGCTCAGAGAAGGGAGCTTAGCTCTCTCATGGCACAGAGCTCCAGTCTCTGACCTCTATTCCTCTAGCTGTGGCCTCAGATCAACTGACTGTCCCTGTACCTGAACAGATCCTATCTGACTTACTTTGGGATATTCTCCAGGGTTTAGTTTAAAAAAATTTTTTTGAGGTGCTGGGGATGGAAGTAGGGCCTCAGACAGGCTTGGCAAGTGCTCTACCACTGAGCTATACCCACAGTCCTCCCCAGGTTTTTGACATACTAGCATAAAGGAAGGAGATGTAGTTTACTAGTTCTAGGTATCCTCTGTGTATGGCTGCTATCTATTATTCCTAGTAAAACCCTGATTCTTCCAGATCCCTCAGACTCTACACTCACAGCTCTCCTCACCTGTGTACTGCACCCCTATCTCTTCATTTTTAGACCTCACCATCTCTTCATTCTTCCTTTTCTCTCTCTCCCAGCTTTTGCCCCATGTTGACCTGAAGCCAGAGCCCTACCTTCCCTCTCCCACCCATTTTTCAGCTCCTTCTACCTACCGGGCAATGATCTCCCAAAGCTGTAAAGCATCATGGGCATAGAGGGCACTTGGGATTCCCAGCAGGCCCCGGTCAGCCAGGTCATCAGGAGGACAGAGGGAACAGTAGGTCAGCTGAGCCATTGCCCGGTGGAGCAACTGCACATGGCCCCCTCCACCTGTGTTTGCTGCCTGGGATAAGAATTGACAGGGCTTGAGGGATGGAAGCAGAACCAGAGAATGATAGCCTGTTATGCAAGAAGTTCAAGATGGGGTTTATAAATTTAAAGACATGTATATAAAAGGACAGGACTTACAGGTTAAGGGTCAGGACATTCTCATATGTCATCTGGGATGCTGAAAATGGCAGAAGATTGCAGAGAGCTGGGTGATTAGGCAGCTCCGTACTTATTCCTTCCTTACCTGATCAAATAGTCCTCCATCTGAAATGAGCTGGGTTCGGGCCCGGGTGTTGATTTCCAAAGTATAGCGGATATGGGGGACCAGGAGCTGGAGTGGAGGACATTGGAGGTTAGTTAATGGAAGCTATGTTTGGGTCCTTGATTGTAGGGCCTGGCACCCAACATGGTGGTCTGCTCCCTTATTGATGCTTTCATCCCTCTTGCTTCCTTGGTCTGTTTATCTGATCAGTCTCATGTTCTCTAACTTCCTTGTGAGTCAGGCTCTGGAGCCACTTTGCCTTTGATACTAGGCCAAGTTTATACCCTCTCATCTGCAATCTTCTCATCTGTCAGTAGGGGGCAATAATAGGATCTCTTATCTCAGGGAGCTTTGGTGACGTCTGTGATTATGTGAGTGATGTGTGAAGAGTTGATAGAACATCCAGAAATTCTCCAATAATAACTGTTATCATTCTCTTTATTATTCCTACCTTGATTATAGGTATTCCTTATGAATCAGATCCTTTTGACTTTCTTTTATATTCTACAAATCACATCCTCATACCTTAAACTAGCCTCTCTACATCTCTTTGTCATGTCACTGTTGGTTTTGTTTTGTGGGCAGTTTGAGCAAGTAGTTTCAGTCAGAATAGAGGGGCTACATTGATCTACCTGCTTAAAGGAGCAGAGGGGCTGCTGTCAAATCTGTCCCCATTGCCACCTGGACACTGTTCAGCTACCTCTTTCCTGCTTTTCCTTGCCTATTGAAATAGGTTACCTGAGGTGCTGGGATTGTAGCTCAGTGGTAGAATGCTTGCCTAGCATGAGGCACTGGGTTGGATCTGAGGATCAGACCACATAAAAATAAATAAATAAAATAAAAGCATTATGTCTATCTACAACTAAAAAAAAAAAAAAAAGGCTACCTGAACCTGGGGCCTGCCTTTAACCTCAGCAACTTGGAAGGCTTGAAAAGCATTACAAATTTGAGGTCAGCCTTAGCAACTTAGTGTGAGACCCTATCTCAAAATAAAAAATTAAAAAGACTGCGGATGTAGCTCAGTGGTAACCCTGCCCCCCACAAAAAAAAGTACTTGATCCTCACACATGTTTCTTTGTACCTTAGACTTATTTATCTTCCTTTCTACCCAATTAATTTGCAGGTTTCATCCAATTTTTGTGTTTATCTGAATTGTTGATGCTGGATGCAGGAGAAACCCAAGTGATCATTTTGTTATTAAGGTATCAAAGCAGCTTACATTAGAATGAAACTTTTCAGAAAGTTCATGAAAGATGCTGAATGTCATGGAAGGCCCAAAGTCCACATGAGGAGAGAAGATGCCTGAGACAAACAACTCCTAATAATAATAAATGTAAGAACTAATTTTTTTTTGTAGCATGTAGTACATGTTACATGATTGTTTTATGCCATTTTATCCTTTAACAACACCATGAGGGACATCCTGTTATTCTCATTTAAATATGTAGACATTGGTAAGTACTGAAGCCAGGATTCAGGATTGAGACCCTAGCCATCAAAAGGTGGCCATTTTGATGATTGCAGGCTTCACCCTCCTATGTACCCTGTAACAACTCAGCTATTTGCCTTGGGAAGAAATTGTTAATGGTGAGTGATGACAATGTAGGACTGAGCTAGAGAGGAGAATTCTAAGTCTGAATTGAGGTTTCACTTAATAATATTGAGCAGAAGATGATGATGCAGGAGGCATCATGTGACAAATAAATTCCAAGATCCTTTTAAACATACTGGTCTCTTTCTTGTCTATTTTCCAAAGAGGTGACCTTCATGGGTCACAGCTATATTGGCCAAGGTTGGGAGGTCCAGATGGATGTCTTCAGCTGAAATAGTTCAGTTGTTCTCCATACCAAGTGCTTACTTGCATATCTTGCCAATACTTCAAACTCCTTGTTGCTTAAATCAAATATCTCATTTTACCCCCAAACTAGCTTCTTTCAACTTTTCTATTACTCTGGTTCAAAGTTTCTGTCATTTTGTGCCCTTCTCTGCCATGTTCCTTATCTGAAAGTGTCATTGAGATTTTGAGAACATTTTCAAAGCAAGAATAAGTCTTACTTAGCTGTCTTCTGCCTAGCAGTAAACACTACATTGTTTCATAAAATTATAGTATTTCTAGGTCAGTACAGCACATGGCACAAACTATGAGTTCCTATGTGTCACAGAAGCTTGGACTTGTGATTTTTCTCTCTCCAGTCTTGCACCTGGACATGCTACAACTTTTCTGTTTCCTTTATTTACCATGTTTTTGATTTTTCATTTTCACTCCTGTGTAATGACGCCACTAGTGCACATCTTTACTGCCTTACTCTTGGGCTTATCTCCTTGTATTCTGATCTTTTGCTACTTAGCTGACTACTCTCTTGGGGTGGAACATTCTCCATTAGTTCTATACTGTTTATAGGTTGTCTCTTGTGATTTCAAACTTTAATTCCAGAAATTGTTCTTGGTTGGTTCTTGGGGGCTTCTTCCTGACAAAATATTAAGTCTCCTAAGGTAGGAATAAAGCCTTTGTATTACTCCAAAGTATAAATAAGACTTTTTTTTTTTTTTTTTTTTTTTTACTAATGATATTCCATCTATACTGCAAGCTGATTCCTAGGCTGTTAGATCTTTGACAGTTTCAGAGAGCTCCCTTATAACGTGTCTGAAGAAGTTAGGTAAGAGTAGAGCCTGTACCTTGAAAACAGGGTGCAATCCTGGGAGGCACCTCATAGTAGCAACAGCGATGACCTCAGCCACCAAATGAGTGTTCAGCAAATGATACTGGAGCTGGTGCAGTTGGAAATCTGAATTTCGGACCCAGGACTTGGCCAGGAGCCAGGCAAGTGGAGGATCTGATGGCAGGAACAGTGTTGGGGTTGGGAAGCTGGGATTGGGAGGTTGAATCTGGAAGAAAGAAAAAATTGAGTATTTATTGAACTATCAACTTTGTATGACACGATCAGCATTTCTGAGGAAACAGGTGACTAAGCAAGACTATTGCCTTCTAGAGGGTTATAATGTAGTAGGAGGAATAAGAATCCTTCCTCTCCTCACTGGCTATGATTTTGTGGTCTTGTTGAATGCAGGAGAAACTGGAAGCAGGGAGTCCAGTAAGGAGGTTCTAGCAGTTTTTTAGGAGAAATAGGATGGGAGTCAGAGCTCAGGTGGCAGAGAGGGAAGCAGAAGTTGGATGCGTACAATTGTTGACAATGATAATAATAACTGATTGTTTGATGGGAATAGTGAGAAAAAGGGTTATCCAAGAGAATAGATATTCAGAATTAGAGGATGCTTAGAGATTAAATAATAGTTCAAAAAGTGTGTTCTGAGATGCAGAATCAGCATTACTTTGGAACTTGTAATGAATGAATATTCTCTGTGCCCACCCCCAGACACTAAATCAGAAAGTCTAGTGGTGGCATTGAAGACCCTGTGTTTTAACAAACACTTGAGGTGATTCGGAAGCATACTAATGTTTGACAACTGCTAGGTATAGGATGAGGATTCGAAGAGGCCATTATGATTCTTGAATAAGTATTTCCATTAGGTACATTGGGAAGACCCGGCTGTGAGCTGTGACATGAAGATAGGTCTTGGTGTGGATGGGATTTAAGAGGCCAAAGTTAAGGGATTGGGTCCTTAGGAGCAAAGGTTGATGTGAACAGAGAAGTGGGAATGAGATGCTCAGGGGGCCTCACCTGGATGACCATGGGTAACAGTTTCCCATTGGGTTCCATCTTCAGCATGACAAGGGGGGCAGCCAGATACTGCTTCTCTCCTTTGATCACATTGGCTGGAATTCCATCCAGCAGGATAAAGTCAGCCTCAAATAGGGAACCATTCTGGAGAAAAGAGGAATGTATCCATTGCAGAGTTCAAAATCTATTCATAAAGAGAATCAATCTGACAAAAGAAGTAAAAGACCTCTACAATGAAAACTACAGAACACTAAAGAAAGAAATTGAAGAAGACCTTAGAAGATGGAAAGATCTCCCATGTCCTTGGATAGGCAGAATTAATATTGTCAAAATGACCATACTGCCAAAAATGCTATACAGATTTAACGCAATTCCTATTAAAATTCCAGTGACATTCTTCATAGAATAGAAAAAGCAATCATGAAATTCACTTGGAAAAATCAGAGGCTCCAAATAGCCAAAGCAATCCTTAGTGAGAAAAACAAAGCAGAAGGCATCACAATATCAGACCTTAAGTTATACTACAGAGCTATAGTAACAAAAATGGCATGGTATGGGCACCAAAACAGACATGAAAACCAATGGAACAGAATAGGAGACACAGATACAAACCCATATAAATAAAGTTATTTCATATTAGACAAAGGCACCATCAACATACATTGGAGAAATGACAGCCTATTCAACAAATGGTGCCGGGAACGCTGGAAATCCATATGTAGTAGAATGAAATTTAACCCATCTCTCACCCTGCACAAAACTCAAAAGAGGATCAAGGACCTAGGCTTTAGACCAGAGACTCTGAACCTCCTAGAAGAAAGTGTAGGCCCAACTCTTCATCATGTCAGCTCAAGAACCAAATTCCTCAACAAAACTCCTAAAGTGCAAGAAGTAAAATCTAAAATAACTAAATGGGATGGTATCAAACTAAAAAGCTTCACAGCAAAAGAAATAATCAAGAACGTGAAGAGAGAGCCAACAGAATGGGAGAAAATCATTGCTACTTGCACCTCAGATAAAGCATTACTCTCCAGGATATACAAAGAACTCAAAAAACTTAACACCAAAACAGACAAACAAACAAATAACCCAGTCAATAAATGAGCAAAGAAACTGAACAGGCACTTCACAGAAGAAGAAATATGAATGGTCAACAAATTTATGAAAAAATGTTCAACATCACTAGTAATTATAAAAATACCAATTAAAACTACAGTGAGATTCCATCTCACTACAGTCATAATGGAAATTATCAAGAATATAACAGTAAATGCTGGTGAGGATGTGGGGACAAAGGAACACAAATTGGATCAACCACTCTGGAAAGCAGTATAGAGATTCCTCAGAAAACTTGGAATGGAGCCACCATTTGACCCAGTTATCCCATTCCTTGGTTTGTAACCAAAGGATGTAAAATCAGTATACTGCAGTGACACAGTCACATCAATGTTTATAGTGCTCAATTCACAATAGCTAAGCTATGGAACGAACATAGGTGCCCTTCAACAGGTGAGTGGAAAAAGAAAATGTGGTGTATATATACACAGTGGAATATTACTCAGCCATAAAAAGAATGATGTTATGACTTTTGCCTTTAAATGGATGGGTCTGGAGACTATCATGCTAAGTGAAATAAGCCAGGCTGAATGTTCTCTCTGATATGTGAATGCTAATACACAATAAGTGAGGTAGGGAAGAATAGAAGTTCAGTGGATTAGACAAGGGGGGATGAAGGGAAGGAAGGAGGATGGAAATAGGAAAAACAGCAGACTGAATAGGACATAACTTTCGTATGTTCACATATGAATATACCACCAGTGAAATGAGATACTAATTAGAATAAGTTATATTCCATATATGTATAACATCAAAATACACTGTACTATCATGAATGTCTAAAAAGAACAAATAAAAAAATTATATCCCTAAAGGGTCAGGGCAAAGGGCAAAACATTTGAAGACATTCAGTCCAGCTTAGCATCCTGCATCAGTTCCAGAGCCCTATTGGCAGAGCCCTACTGGTCCAATTCCTCTCATTTTAAAGTGAAGAAACAGCCTAGTGAGGGTAGATGTCTTGTGCAAGGATATGTAGTAGCAGATCTGGGTTCAGAACTAGGCCCATTTAATCCAGTGGCATAGGTGTTATCAACTGATCCCTTGTCCAGGTGGCCAGACCCCTACTCTGTCATCCCCTAATGGTCTGTTCTCTGCTTTTGGCTCCCATCAGCTCAGCCATCCCTCTTCCACTCCCTATATAAATCTTACCTCCTCTGCCAAATATTCCACAGAGCTTCCCCTGGCTCCCACTACCACTGAATACAGCATACAGGCATGCATTTACACAAGATTCTGTCTGGACTCGGCCTCCTCATGTTCAGTTCATCTGTCCCAAATTCATCTCCTCCCTCACTCCCCAGAAAACCTTCCTGAATTTCTCCATCTGTTGGCACAGACTTTTTCTTTTCATTTTCTTTTTTTGTGCCCATGAATACTGGAGTCCAGGACACTGACATCAGCCAGGAATGTCATAGTTCCTCCTAACATATTTGGCCCCCATCTGTGCCCTGAGGTGCCTCCTATTTCTCTGTTTATGCTGAGAGTTCTTAAAAGTTTTTCCCCCAATACTTGGTCATTTCTAGACTTTTTTTTTTCCAACCCCTGAGTCTGCACCAAGAGGCAGCCTTCTTTCCTGTGACTTATCTTTGGCTTCTCATCTTCACCAGTTCTTCCCGCTACACTACTAAGGAGAGAACAATGCTGAGTTTATGTGTTTGTGTGTGGGGTACCTGAAGTTCTTTCTCCAACTGGGCTTGAAGTTCTTCTGTTCCTGAGGGCAGCACCAGCCTGGATGGCAGAGAGGTGGAGCGTCTCAATAGCATGGGGTTGGTGCCATTGAGGAACTGGTAGCCAAAAAAGTCATCCTCCTGCCAGCACTGGTGGATCTTCTCTGTGGGGTGGGAGAGGGGTAGAGGAGGGAGATTACTACTTGGACATCCTTCTCCTTAAGGCCTCAGGGATTCAGACTATCCTGAGTCCCTTTCTTTTCATTCTTGAGGCCTCTGTGAGATCAGAACAGGAACAACATGTTTTTACTTGGCAAGGAGTTGTGGGGGACCTTGAAATACGATGGGCGGGCCATCAAAAGGAACCATCAGAGAGATCTGGGGGAGTCACTGACCAGTCAGGGCACTCTTCTGGCCCCAGAAGATCAGATCAAAGTCTTCCAGACGGTTCCAGCGGCTCAGGAGGGTGTAAACACGTTTGAGGACCATCTCCAGAGCCCTAGAACATATTTTGGGGCATGAACCCATTGGCTCACCCCTCAGGCCCTCACCATATACTACCATTCTTGGATCTCCCAACTCTGATGCCACTCTGAGCTCCATCCAGCCTTTTTCTCACCCTGCCTTCAGTGCCCATTCGAAGTCTAGCCTCTTCTCCTCTTGGAATCTCACATTTGGGTGTAGGTCATCCAAACAGTTTGCAGCTATTGTCAGGGGTATCCCTTCCTTCCAGGTGGCCCAGCTAGAAGTTGGGACAAAGCTTCAGGGAGGGTGTTGAGGTCAGTGATAAGGGCAGGGGCAGGGAAAAGGTGGGACAGTTGGGAGGGCTGTGGATAGGTGATCACCAGTAGATCTGTTGTCTTTCCTTCAATTCCTTCTCCCGATGCTTCTGGAAGACGTCCAAGCCATTGTCTCCTGCCAGGCGGGCTGGGGAGACATTAAGAAGATTGGCCATGAAACTTTGGTTCTGTGCTCTCCTCTGCTGGTCCTTAACTTTCTTTTTATCACCAGATTCCATGTTTTCAGTCCTGTTCTATTGCTTTTATCTCTGAATTTCCCTCTCTTGATTGATTCCCTCTCCACATTTATCCCATTGTTCACCAGTCCTGTATTCCCAATTTCACTTATTTCATCCCTCATTTTTTGCCTGAAGACAAAAATCTCATGTTGCCACATTTTCTTTTTCCTTAACTCATCTTCTCCTATTTCATTAAGTGAAATTAAGTGACCCTATTTCACTTAATTAAGGTGATAAAATCTTAGTCACCATATGTCCACACCTATCTGCTGCTAAATATTGGCCTGGCTTATTTTACATGTCTTATACCCAAAGTGCCACACCTTTACCTGACCCTCAAAGATTGTTTGCTTTAAGGATCTGATTTTATTTTTCTCAGACTTACCATTGTAGATTTTTATTTATCGACTTTCTCCTGTTCTTACCTGTACTTAGACTTACTTGTCTCAAGTCATATGTGTCATTTTTCCATCCTTAACCACCTGGTCATCATTTGCTGTATTCATCTCTCTCTTACTAGTTTCCCATAGTAAAAATTCAACATTTGCTGTCCTTATTTATTCCCACCTCACACCAGCTCTCTTAACATCGTATAATTTGTTTCCATAGCTGTCTTCTGCTCACAGGTTACCCCCATCTCCATTCCACGGGCCCCTCACCTGTCCCTACCCTAACTTGTTCTGAGTTAAAGAGAGATCTTCATACTTTGCTTCTCTGTTTTCCTATCGTTGCATCTCCTACTCCCTGTCCTCACTTTGGAAGAGGGAATTTCCAGATCACTTACCCCCTCTCCAGTCTCACTTGGAGCATCATATATTTTGAGTAAAACTCAGAGACTTCATAACTTCTTGCTGTCTTGCATCCTGGAATCCCTACACTTCATGTGTGTCTCCATCTGTCCTTTCTCTAAGCCCCACCGACCTTCCTCAATCCCATTCTGCCCCGCTGCTCCCAGCAGTTTCTGAGGAGTCCTTGTGCCTACTTTCCCCACGCTGCCCTCTCACCTGTGCCCTCGGGCAGGCTCAGGACGCCCTTGCCTTGCACCCAGCGGTAGCACGGGAACGCGGTCTCTGCAGAGGTTCCCGGACACTGCACGGTGATGCGATCGCAGAACCATGCGTCGTCCACCAGTGAGTGCTGTTTGCGCAGTTTCACGAATTGCAATGTGCCTAGGTCCTCCGGACTATCCAGAACAAACTCCTCTTTCTGTGGGAGCCAGACCTGCCAGACTTAGCCGAAGGGACCCAGAGAAGCCGCTTTGAGGGCGGAGCCGGCCCTTTGTGGAACCTCAGTTTATTAGGGCCTCAGAAGACAGCCTCTCTCCCTTCCCCATTTGACCTGCCCCACACTCCTCGCTCCTCGGGAGGGCAGAAGCCCACAGTGCGCTGCCCTCTTGAGACTTGAGTTGATGATGGAGCATCATCATCTTTTAGTTTACCCCAATCCCTAAGCTGTCACCGAGACGGTACCTGGAGGAGTTTCACAGTCGACCACAGATTGTATGGCTACCCTGACCCTGGGGCCATTTGGAGAAGGAGTTGGTGGCTGCCAGGACCAGGGTCTGGGTGAGGGAGAAGCCCAGATGGAGCCTATGGCTCTCAACCCTGTTCCTGACTTCTCTCCGGGCGTTCTAACTCCGTAGAACTCCCAGCCAGCGCTGTTGCGCAGTCACTGGCCCCCAGTCTCCTGCCGCTTTCCCGTGTCTGGTACCCTGCTGGGCTAGGGGCCCGGGGCCCCTCTCTCGCAGGCTGACCTCTCCTCGCACGGGCCGCAGCTGTAGCTCCAGCTCTGCTTCTCCGCGCTCCCCGACCAGCCACAGGCGCACGCAGTTGTGTGACCCGGAGAAGAGCCAGGCTCCGGTGGCCACGCGGATGCGGTAACAGTGGCCCATGGCGACCCCAGGAGCTCAGGCGAGGAGAGCCAGGTCCTGAGCGATTCCTGGGACCTCCCGGGGCCGCCGGCGCCTCAGGGCCAGCTCCAGATGTTTAAAGATGGGTCTGCGTCCCCGCCCTCCGAAGTCCCCGCCCCAGACTAGCCTGAACCTGCGATTCAAGCCACACAGCAGGATGTGGGGAAGGGCTGTGCCTTTGGGTCGGGTCAGAGTGTAGCTGCTGGAGGAGAAAGGGACCCTGGCCATGGTGAGGATGAAAGAATGGGTGCGGCGGGGCCTCTCTGGACCTCCTGGGGAGACCTAAGGGCAAGAGCCTCCAGGTTGAACAAGGATGAGGACATTTCCCAGGGATCTGGAGGTCTTTGGGGGTAACTAGGAGAAAGAGGGGGTGAGTCTATCTTTCAGGGAAGTCCATGCTGTTCTGGGCCGGGACCTGAGGAAAGTTTCGGGAAGGCTAGCCTGGGAGGCTGTACTGGTGTCCCCTGGGGATGCTCTGTTGTCAGACCCCTGTGGTCCAGTAAGTCCTCCCATCCCTCATCATTACTGCTTTTGAGACCTGTCCTTCAATAAGTGACCAGGGCTTCTCAAGAGTCTGGAAGACTAACAGCTCAAGACTCCATACCCACTTGTCTCCCTCTGACTCTTCCCTCCAACCTCCCCTTTGCTCAGATGAGTGCAGCTCCTTCACCCTCAGTAGGTTCCAGGTTAATTTTTATTCCCAAATTCTCTTCTGGCCTTTCAGGGTCTCAGGGTAGGAAAATCAGGAACAGCAGATGGTCTGGTGCTGGTTGTCGTCTTTGTAAACAGTGAAAGGATGATGCAGGGCTCAGGCTGGTCACCCATCCAGGAATCAATCAGATGAAGTCCCCTGCACATGTCCCTATCTAGATCTTCCTGAACCATTTGACTCACAGCAGATGGATGTGTCCTGGTGGCTTGGGCTTTCTTGAGGCACACCAAAAAGATGTGCTGGTTACTGGTGGGAATAAATCATGGGGAGGGGGGTGGTGTCTAGTCCCACCTTCCAACTTCCAAAGCTTATACCAGCATCGGTCCTTCCTGAATACCATTTCCCACCTTTTAGGGCCCATTCCTACCAAATGCTTTGTGCTTGGAACAGAGCCATTGAACACCTCCCCCACCCCCAGTTTTCTGGGGCTACCCTATTCTGTAATATCCCAATAAAATGGCTCAAATTCTCATTGTTCACGATAGCAGGATCTGGCCTTTTCCACACATATTTTTATGGTTTACTTTTTCTTTCTAGAAAAGAATTTAAAATATATTTATTTCCAAAGTGAGTGCATACTTCAGCCTGATTCTCTGCTGTTTTGTGACTCTTCTGCCTACCCTAGTATACTGTGAGGGAATTTACAATGGAGGAAAATAATCTAAACTGTGCATAAGCTAAATGAGTTAATATATTCAAACTTTTAGAACAATGCCTGGCACAGAGTCCTCTGTGTATTAGTTGCTATTAGTTTATTATTTTCAGTGGAATGTCAGCATCACTCCTTCTAGAAGAAATTCCTTTGCCATTCATCACCACATACTGTTTCCCCATGGCCCTGTACAGGCCCCAGCCTCCCACTAGGGTTCTTGACCTCTCAAGACTCCTTCCCCACTTTTTTTTTCTTTTTTAAGCACATGCACAATGTTGGGAGAATATATTAAAATTTATTTTTTCTATACCAGGTGATTTGAGCCCAGGGCCTCACACGTGCTAGGCAGACTCTCTACTATCGAACAGTCTAGGGATGATTTATTTAAAAAAAAAATCCTAATCTTGAAAACTTCTTCACGCAAGTATCAACAACAGCAGCAACAAAACCATTATTTTTGAATAAGCCTTAAGTCAGCATGTGAATCACTTCAAAAGCAATTGCTAAGAGATTGTGAAGCCATGAAGAAAGCTAAACAGATAGAACTCATTGCCTACATGTGCTTAAGATAAATTATAATTAATTCTCAAGTAAAATGACTTTATAGTACCATTTTTCACACAAAATGTATCCTAGACTCACCTGGTAATTGGAGTGGCCACCTGTGTTCACTTAATTGACTTAATAGGAGGACAAACTTCTCTTATCTTTATTTTATTTTATTTTTCTGGTGGGGGCAGGGTACCAGGGATTGAACTCAGGGGCACTCAACCACTGAGCCACATCCCTAGCCTAATTTTTGTGTTTTATTAGAGGCAGGGACTCACTGAGTTACTTAGTGCCTCACTTTTGCTGAGGCTGGCTTTGAACTCGTGATCCTCGTGTCTCAGCCTCCCAAAGCTGCTGTCTTACCTTTATGATAGGAGATAGTTTTGCAAGTTAAACAAAGTGTTTGTCTAAGTTAGGCTCCATTCTCCAATAGAAACTGGGAGATGGAGGCTCTACTTCCCTTGGTGTGTATGTTTCAAAGAGGTTGCTCCCAGCTCCTTGCTTGAGAAAGACATTCCTGTGTAATAAAGCTTACAAAAGCTTATGTATCTTCAAAACAGATTTACACAAATTTCACAGAGACAGAAAAGAATATGGAGACTTCCTAAAGCAAATTCTTTCATGAAAAGAAAGAAGGGTGGGGAGAAGTTTCTCCCTTATTTTTGACAGAGAGAATGAAGCCTCTTGTTTTTAAAATTTTAAAATTTTGTTCTTAAATATGCCACAAGAAGAAATGAGGCCTTGATTTTGTCTTGGCCCTTTGCATAGGGAAGTCCCCACTGGCACAGGTGCAACCAAAGTTAACCTCTCTTTGTCCAGACTTCTGTTGCCCTGCTCTCTGCCAGTAGCTCATTCCCACATTCCCATTACTTCTCTGCACAGAACAATTTAACTTCTTGATCAAAGCATCTCTCATTAGATTATGCCCCAGGGGGTGGACCTTAGATTTCATAGCCAAAAAGACTTGTTAAAACATTTTCTAAATGTAAGAATAATTTTATCCTTTCCTTTTCTCCTGCTGCCAATGTGGCTCAAAATGCAGTCAATTTGGATGATAGTTCTATTGTCTTTCTATTATTGTTTGGAGCCCTTGTATGGCATGGGGCTATATAAATTCATATTTGGTCCCTGAGGTCCTTACACATAAACATGGCATTATAAACCATGTAATTTTAAACTGTATAATCACAGAATATGATTTCGGGGCAGACACATGATCATGTATTTCCAATTAGTAATTTGGGCACCCTACATCCCAGTTTGCAGGAGGCCCAGCACTTCCTTCCTTGAATGCTGTCACTCCTTTCTGAGGCTGTACTATGGTTACCTGGAGAACCCTTATTCTATGCAACTTAGTGGGCCATTTTCTAGTGCTGCATGGAGGCCTTGCACAGGCCACAACAGTGACATAGACTTGGTTTCCACACTCTTTACACATCCACGCATGATTGTGGTGCTAGGGGCCTGTGCCAGGGCTGTGCCTGGGCTGTGTCTAGCCTTGCCTCCTGAACTTTAGGCTTGGAATTGAGCCTGGTCATTAGACCAGATCACTTTTCTCACAGAGAGTTCCTTTTGGGATCCAGGTTTTGTGTGTGTGTGTGTGTGTGTGTGTTTTCCTGCTGGTAGACATCTAAGGAAATCTTAATCTTTCAGAGAGGACTTAATACTGAACAATGTCAAAAAGAATCAGGGTCCCAATCACTTTTCTTTCATGTAGTGTCTTGAACCATTCAATCAAATTTGCTCTCTCTTCCACCTCTGACAACTCTGGGCACCTAGGGACTGCTGGAGTGAGGAATGGGGATGGACAGGGTGGGAGTGGAAGGGGAACCTTGATGGGCCAAAAACTGGTGCCCAAGTGGGGATACTCAGGCTCAGAGAAGTTTGCCCTCAGAGAGCTGTCTAATTCAGAGAGATGGAGAGAGAGGTAGAGTTAGATATATACATAGATGATAGAGATAGATAGATAGATAGATAAATAGATAGAAAGAAAAGCTGTAAGATTATTTTTTTTTCTTTATCCTTTGCTGCCTGTTCCCCTTTCCCCTCCTACTCTGCTACCTCAACACCAGCAGGTTTTCCCAGGTCAAGCCCAAGTTTCTATGGATTCATAGAATCATCTTCAAACATGAATACAACTTATAGAAATGGTTGGTTTGGGTTATTAAAAAAAAATCCCAGCAGCGTGAGAGGCTGAGGCAGGAGGATTGCAAGTTCCAGGCCAGCTTTAGCAACCTAGCAAGGCTCTAAGCAACTTAGCAAGACCCTGTCTCAAAAAAAAAAAAAAAAAGGGCTGGGGATGTGTCTCAGTACTAAGATCGCCTATGGGTTCAATATGCAGTGTGCACATGCACACACACACAAAAATTTGTACCACACTGTATACATTTTTCTGGATCTTGCTTTTCTTACTTAAAAGATATATCTATGGAAATTTCTGAAGCTCAATAGTTACATATCTGACTTTTTTTTAAAATTTACAATTTTTAGATGGACATAATATCTTTATTTTACATTTATGTGGTGCTGAAGATTGAACCCAGTGCCTCATGCATGCTAGGCAAGCATTCTATGACTGAACCACAACCCCATCCCCAATCTGACTTCTTTTAAGAAGATGAATGGTATTCCATTATATGACTGCTTTACAGTGTATTCAACTTTGCCTCTGATCCTGAGCATTCAGTTTCCATTTATTTTTACATATACTGAACACTACAAAGAGCATGTGTGTGCCTATATCCTTATGTACTGGTGGTTTTATTTCTATAGGTTAGAGTCCAAGGAAAGGGTGGAAAGAAATAAAGTAAAAATTTTTTGAAAAAATACAAACAAACAGCAAAGTGGAGTTGGTTTATGTGTCAGGCATAGGAATATACCCAGAGAAGACATTGACTGCATAGTTCATGTAGTCATGGGATAAGTCAGGGATTTTTAATTGTTAAAAAGGGAGTGTTCATAATAATTATGCTAATTAAAAGTTAAAAGATGATACACTGAAGAGGCTAGAGTGAATCCCTCTAGTAAGATATATGTCTGTCAGCTTTCAGCCACTGTGACCAAATACCTGAGATAAATCAACTTATAGAAAGGAAAGGTTTATTTTGACCCACAGTTTCAGAGGTTCAATTCAAGGTTGGTTGGTTCT